GCTGCTTTCTAGCCATGCCTTCTCCACCTAATGCTTGTAAAATTGATTTTTTTTGAACTTCTAAATCATAATTCGGAATCATATCACTGGTTTTGCACAGACTAGGTTTAATTTTATGGTGCTTTTTTTTAAACATGTAATACTCTCTTTAGCTAGTGCCCCCACCCAGACTTTTTTTTTGGGAACATAAGAATTTGGCATACTTCTAGGTGTCTATATGAAAGGCAAAAAAAAAAAAAAGAAAGGAAGAAAATACCTTCTCAGCTCCTGTGTAAGCACTCAGGCTAACAACATACCAAATATAAGACAGGCTTTATTAAAAAAAAAAAAAGCAAAACAGAAAATATTTGTATCTAGACCCAAATCCAGACAAACTCTTCTTCCCTCTTATAGGCCCCCACCTCCCACACTGTGCTAATCTTCCTGCAGCTGTTTGGCCTCAGACCAAACACTTGACACTTACTAGCTGTGTGACCCTGGGCAAGTCACTTAACCTCAATTGCCTAAAAAATTTTGAAAAAGGTACATACCCTTTGACCCAGCACTTCTAGGGCTATATCCCAAAGAGATATAGACGGTGGCTCAGCAATTGTCTCTGCCAGTTCCTTGAACGCATGATTAAAGGAGGATGTGATTATAACCATCACCATAACAAACATTTTTTGTGTTTGAAAGTTTGAAGAGTCACATTGTAATTTGAGTCTTACCATACTTTACCTGGGAGGTAAAGATGAGGAAAACTCAGAGAGGTCAGAGAAGTTGAAAGTGAATTACCACTGGTCACACAGCTCATCAGAGGCAGGATTTGAACTCAAGTCTTCCTGGATCCAAGTCTAGCATTCTGCTACAATACCACACTCCTGGCCTTGGGGACTTGAATTCACTAAGGACATCTAAGTGTCCTCCTGCTACCTTCTTATTTATGTTAGCACACTGTGCTAATCTTCCTGCAGCTGTTTGGCCTCAGACCAAACACTTGACACTTACTAGCTGTGTGACCCTGGGCAAGTCACTTAACCTCAATTGCCTAAAAAATTTTGAAAAAGGTACATACCCTTTGACCCAGCACTTCTAGGGCTATATCCCAAAGAGATCATACAAATGGACAAAGGACCCACATGTACAAAAATATTTATAGAAGTTATTTTTGTGGTGGCAAAGAATTGGAAATTGAGAGGATGCCCATCAATTGGGGAATGGCCAAACAAGTTGTGATATATGAACGTAATGGAATACTATTGTGCTGTAAGAAATGATGAGCAGGCAGACTTCAGAAAAACCTAGAAAGACTTGTATGGTATGATGTAGAGTGAAGTGAGCAGAATCAGGAGAACATTGTACACAGTAACAACCACATTGTACGATGACTAACCTTTCTTAGCAATGCAAGGATCTAAGACATCTCCAAAGGCCTCATGATGGAAAATGCTATCCCTATCCAAAGAAAGAACTATGGAGTTTGAATGCAGAGTAAAATATATTTTTGCCTTTTTTTTTCTTCTGTTGTGTTTTGTTTCCTCTTTCTGGTGGTTCCTCCTATTGGTTCTAATTCTTCCTTACAACATCACTAATGTGAAAATATAGAATAGAAATATTAGAGCCTATATCAGATTGCATGCCATCTTAGGGAGAGGGGGGAAGAAAATTAAAAACTCAAAAGCTTGTGGAAGTGATCATTGATAAATCAAAATAGATTAATAAAGTTTAAAAAAGGGGAAAAAAAGATGTGTACAGGAGATAGAAATAAGGCCAGGTAACATAAGGTGGCTTGAGGAACATGGCACAGGCCTGTAAAAATGGTGTCAGGAATACTAAAGCTCAGAGTGAGTTGAAGCTGGTGAGGGAAGCCATAGACTACAAAAAAGAAGGAATAAGCATTTATATAGCATCACTCGGGGCCAGCCACAGTGCTAAGTACTTTTTAAATAAATATTCTCATTTGATCCTCACAAAAACCTTATGAGGTAGATGCTGTTTTTATCTCCATTTTACAGTTGAGGTAGACAGAGTTTAGTTAAGTGACTTGCCCTGGTAGTGAAGTATTTGAGGCTGGTCTTTCTGATTCCAAGCCCAGCTCTTTATCCATTAAGTCACATACCAAGGTTTGGTTTGTTTGCTTTCTAGCTGTAGTGGAAGAAAAAGATAAAAGAGGGGATGGATCTTTAGGGCTGGATAGGATGATGGTAATTTACCAAAGAGACAGTGCAGAGCTGCTTAACTTATTTTAATTGTTTCTGTACGGAATAACAGAATAAAAATGACTAATAGGGAGTTGAAACCCAAGATAAGGAAGGAGACAGCAAGACAGGCTGTGATTCAAGGAGTAGAAGAATGAATTCAGTGAATTCAAGTCACCTAGCCCAGATGAACTATCTTCCTGGGTCCCTAAAGAATTGGCATTTTTGATTACTTAGAGACTGTCAATGATATTTGAAAGATGATGGAAAATAGGAGAGGTAACACAAGATTACAGAAGAACAGATATCCTAATTGAGAGAGAGAGAGAGAAAGAGAGAGAGAGAGAGAGAGAGAGAGAGAGAGAGAGAGAGAGAGAGAGAGAGAGAGAGAGACAGAGAGAGACAGAGAGAGACAGAGAAAAACAGAGTCTGAAAAAGTAGGGGCCAGTGAGCTTGAATACAATTCCTGGGAAAGTTCTAGAATGTATCATTAAAGAGATGGTTAGTGAACATCTAGAAATGGAAACAGTGATTACAAAGAACCAGCTTGGCTTCATCAAGCACAGGTTATGCCAGACAAACCTCACTTCCTTTTTTTTTTCTTGACAGGATTACTAAATGAGTGAAATGCTGTGGTGATAATTTATCTAGATTTTAAAGATAATTTACCTAGGTTTTTTTAAAATAAAGTTTCTCATACTATTCTTGAGGAGATAGATAGGGACTAGATGATTATACAATCAGAAAGATTTAGAACTGGTTGGATGGCTAGATTCACAAAGTAATTAATTATTCATGGTTTAATATCAATGTGGCAATGGTCTCCTTTGGAAAATCTCAGGGCTCTGTGCTTGGCTCTATTTCTGGTTAATCTTTTTTTTTTTTTTTTTAAGACAATTGGGGTTAAGTGACTTGCCCAAGGTCACACAGCTAGTAAGTGTCAAGTGATTGGTCTGAGGCCAAATATGAACTCAGGTCCTCCTGACTTCAGGGCCGGTGCTCTATCCACTGTGGCTAACCTTTTTAATAGATGACTTTGGTAAAGGAATTGATGGTATGCTCATCAAATTTGCAAATTACACAGAAATGGGAGGGAAAGCTAACACACTACATAACAGTGCCTTGACAGGCACAAACATTGGGCTGAATCTATTAAGATGAAACAATAGGGATAAATGTAAAGCCTTGTGCTTGCTTCTCCCATCCCATCTCAATTAACTTTATGAGTATAAGGTGGGAGATGAATGATTAGACAGCAAATGTTCTGGAAAAGAACCACAGATCTTAGTGGACTGAAAGCTCAATATGTGTGATGTGTCAGCCCAAAAAGTTGATTTGATCTTTGGCTGAATAGAAAAGCATATCTTCCAGGAAAAGGGAAGTAATCATCCTACCATATTCTGCCTTTGACAGACCACCTACAGTACTGTGTCCAGGTCTGGGCAACATCTTTTAAGGACATTTATTCATTAACTGGAGTGTAACAGAGAAGTGTAACCAAAGTCAAGTTTTTAGGCCTTGACATATGATGATCAGCTGAAGGGACAGAGGTTTCTTAGCCTGGAAAAGAGAAGACTCGGGGGAAAGGTGAAAGGGGGAACATGAGAGCTGTCTTAAAGTATATAAAGGGTTGTCATGTCTAGAAGCAGGATTATGTTTGAACTAGGAGCAATGTTGCAAAGAGGCTAGATTTAGACAGATTGTCAGGAAAAACTTCCAAGATGGGAATGAGCTGCTTCAGTGCTGGATTCCTCCTCCTTGGAGGTCTTCAGCAGGGGCTAGATGATCAGGTATGCTATAGTGGGGTTTTCTTTTGGGTGTGAGTCAGACTAGATGGTGACTGAGATCCCTGCTAGCTCTAATTCTATGATCCTGTGACATTGGTGACATCATAAAGGCCTCATCAATAAGTGACAAAGAGGAGCCAGGACAATACCTATGAGTACACCCCCAACATTCCCAAATATAAGACTTTTAAGTTTTCATCCTTACCTATTACATTTCAACTTATTAGATTAGGCCCAAAGTTTTAGCCTGTTGGGAATTTTTTGAATCCCACCTCTGTTATCCAGTGTTAGCTCTTCCTAAGCACTTTTGTATCATCTCTTTACCCAAGTCACTGATAAAAAATGTTCAACCACATAGATCCCTAGTCTGTTGGAGACTATCTTCGAAATTTACATTGAATCATTAATAATTCCTCTTGGGTCTCAACCATTCAACTATTTCTGAATTCATAGATCTTTACAAGTCCGTGTTTCTCCATCTTTCCCACAAAAATAGAATGGGAGACCTTGCCCAATGCTTTGCTAAAAATTGAGGTAAACTACAGATACAGAATTACCCTGATGCAATCAGTCTTAGAAACCCTGCTGAAAATGGAAATGAGAGGCTGTGACTTGGGCCTCCAGCTTCCCTCCCACAACCCAAGTGTTCTGGGCTCCATTTTCCCTTGCACGTTCCAGGTAACCTGGACACTAGCACCCCTTTTGTAGTCCAGCTGTCCTCAGCCACCATTCTTCCCACAACCCTAGGCCTCCTGGGCTTCCATCTCCCCTGACACAGCACAGAGGTCCAGGCTCTAGTGTTGTCCCACAGCCATCACGGGTCATCAGTTTCCCTCCTATGATTCAGGTACACTTGGCCCGCACCCCACAGCTCAGCCACATATAGAGATGCCACACAAAAGTTGACTTTACTCCTTTATCACCACTTTCACTGTCTTCTCCAAACCTGAATCTGGGCCTGGGGAATCCCATCCAACCCCCAGGGAAGATTTGGGAAATGGACCTCACTGTAGAGTCTTTCCTGCCTTTCACGCTCCAGGGCTAAGAGCATTGGAAAGGACTCTGAGCTGGCCTCATGTGCCTAGAATCTACTTGGCCCAACCCTGCCAGGCTCCCTGGGTGGGGGGCCTGATCCTTTAGATCCTCCCCAGCCCCTTCTGGGGGTCTCTGGCCCTCTAGCCCTCCAGACAAGAGGGAAGGCTCTTAGCCACCCCCAGAACACTCTTCATGGCTTCATATACCACGTAGCTGATGCCCACTGCTGGCAGCACCTTCAGGAGGGTGGGAGTCACCCCCCGGTACAGGCCAGGCATGCCCTGCTGGGCTAGGATCTTTCCAAAGACACCTCGCATGGTGGGATTTGAGCCCTCCACGGTGTCTGTGAAGTATAGGCAAAGGAGTAGGATCAGTATCAGGGCAAGAAGTCATATATAGTCAGGGGTTCCTCTCTGTGCCCCACCAAAGGGAATAAGTAGAAATGGGATTTGATTAGCAGGGTCCCAAGAGGTGGCCAATCCACAGCAAGGGGGAAGTGAAGCCAATCTAATCTCCCACCCTCAGGTGCTTCCTCTCTATGACCTACTTTGGAAGTCCATCCCTTCCACAATTCTGTTTTCCTGGACCCCCAGCTTCCTTCTGATGTTGGAGGGATCTCAAGTCCCTTTCTACAGCACAGATGTTTTGAGCCTCTGGTACCCACTGGAATTTTGAAAAAGTGGGTATTTTAACAGTGGGGAGGTAGAGATCAAACTAGAGGATGTCTTACCTTGGGCCTGCATCCTTGTCCGCACCAGTGTCAGGGGGTAGCTGGCCATCTGGCCATAGGTGCTGGACAGTGTGATGGACAATAGGCTGATCATCCCATTGGGATTGTTTGACTCGAACCCTAAGTAGAGCCAGACCCACCTAAGCGACTACAAGGAGGGGAAAAAGTAGAGGGGGCAGTGTTGGGCCAAAAGATTTCTGTGTCCTTGAGTGTCCTTCTCCTTTCTAAGCCCTTCTCCTTGCCCTCAATGAACCCCCATCCCTTCACTGAGACCCCACTCCCTCAGAGATCCTCTATCCCATCACTAGGAGGCCCAGCAGCCTATGCCCGGGGTCCCTGACCTCATAGACAGCCAAATCGGTGCAGGCATAGGGCACAATGCCCAGCATGTTGGGCAAGTAGCCCCGATAGAAGGCTCGGGTTCCCTCACGCCCTAGGATCTGGCACGCACAATCAAGTAGCCCCTTGTACTGGCCTGTCCGCCGGAGTATCAGCCGGGTCTTCAGTACCTGGAGTTGGAGTCAGAGGATCTGGATTCAAATCCATGCTCTGTTACTTACTAGCCATGTTATTCTGGGCAAGTCCCTTCATTTACTGGCCCTCAGTTTCCTCATCTATAAAATATTCACGTTGGACTAGATATTCCTAAAGTTTCTTCCAGCTTAAAATCTCGTGATTCTATGAGGTGCCTAGGCCTGGAGAATGTCCTTGGACATGTGACTCAGAAGGAATTGGACATCCTGTCCCCTAGCCTTGTCATGCAAAGCCCCAGAGAAATTGGCTTGATCTGAAAGATTCTGGGGGGGAATGGGTCCCAGGCATTCTGTCCCCCAGTCAGTCCATCCTGCCTAATTAGATAGAAGCAACCATGGGTTAGGAGCTCACCTCCATGGGGTTGATGAGAGTCTGGGAGACAGCCACTGCCAGGGAGCTAGCCAGGATTCTTTCTTGAAAGGGCTGTGGGTTTTTCTGGTTGTAGAAGAGAGTCTTATACTATGAGAAGTGAGGAGGTGACAGGGGAACAGGGGGTAAGGGAAGAGCCAATAGTTCTATCCCTACCCTTCAACCCTCTCCCAATTCCTTCCCAGAGTCCCCTCCCAAAATTTTTTCTTGACCTCCCAAACCCTCAGGGCCATCCCTGTAACCTCTTGCTCCTTTAGCCACAAAAGGCTGGACAGAAGAAAGGGTAGAAGTGGACCCTAGGTGAAATGGACATGTTGTGGGTACTATTGGACAAGGGGATGATAAAAAGGGTGGGCACTTGGAGGACTGTTAAGAGAGGTATAGAGTTCAAATCTGGCCTCAGACACTTGGCACTCATTAGCTGTGTGACCCTGGGCAAGTCACTTAACCCTAATTGCCTCACCAAAAAGTGGAAAAAAAAAGATTTAGCCTTTCTTTGCAATGTCAGTAAAGAATATGAGTTCTTACCCCTCCCCCCAAAAAAAGAAAGAAAGAGGGGTGTAGGACTGGTTCAGAGTCAGAGTCGGGGTTGAGTGAAGGATAGTACACACATGAGGGTGAGGGTGAGTGACTGGGCCTGGGTCAGAAACAAGGTGAGAATTAGGATAAAAATAAGATTGGGAGTGAAGGTCAGAACCTGGATCAGGTACAGATTTGGGGTCTAGAAGAGGTGAAAGTGTAGTTCAGAGTCTGTGCAGGAGGGAGGGCCTAGGTCAGGGTCAGAGTCCGGGTCTTCAGAAGGCATGTGGGAAGAGCCTCAGCCTCTTGCCCACCTGCTCAGAGACGGAGAACTTGATGGCGTACTCGGGTGCGATCTTGAGCACGTTCATGCCGTTTCCCCGCCACAGGGAGCATATTCCGCCTTCTTGGATCATGCTTCGCATGCCCCCCAGCAAGTTCATGATGTTTGTTTTGGAGGCATAGGCCTGGGTACACAGGGAGAAGGTGTCTCCATTCCCGTGCCCAGTCCCTGGCCCATCCCCATGCCCACTCCCAAATCAGTTCTGAAGTCTGCCTTTCATCACCAACCCCATCCACTTTGCTATCCTGCCCTCCTCCCTCTCCAGCCTTGCCTCCAGACCAGTTCCTGTAGGTATCCCTGGGCTGTCCGCACCTGCATGAAGACTTTAGCCCTGTCCAGGGGGGCCGTCCCAGTACGTGACACAGCGCCAGCCACAGCCCCTGAGACCAGGAACTTCCACCAGGCTGCTTGGTCGCTCTCCTGCAACACTTCTACAGGGACCATCAGCTGTTCACCAGTGTCTAGCACCTGGTCAGACCAAGTCCCAGGGTCTCCATAAACCGGATCAATACCCCAACCCATAGAAAATGGTCCCCTAGACTTTAATCACTGGGGTTGAGAGGACCCTGATTGGTTATCTCCTCAATGGCTACCTCTTCTAGGATACATTTTTGGACTGAGATGTAAAGCCTGGCCCTGGCCCCTGTTTTGCCATCCTGTCTTATGCTCTGAACCATCCCATGAGTCCCTTCCTTCCCTCATGGGACCTAGCCAGACAGCTAGACACTGCTTGGGGCAGCTAGGTGACGCAGTGGATAGAGCACTGGCCCTGAAGTCAGGAGGACCTGAGTTCAAATCCAGCCTCAGACACATAACACTTACTAGCTGTGTGACTCTGGCCAAGTCACTTAACCCCAACTGCCTCATGAAAAAACCAAACCAAAACAAAAAACAAAACCAGACACTGTTTGTTTGCAGAAGACATCTATGAAGAGGGCATGGCAATGTGACCTTTGCCACCCCAACCCCCCCACCCTGGGAATGGGTGCTTTGGAGATCCGTTGTCTGGCCTTGGCCCTGAGTTCACCTGCTGTTTCTCCTGGTGGTAGGGGTGGGGCCCAAAGCTCTGGATGCAAGTGTTGGGATCCCTGTCATGGGTGTCCATGGTGGCCGGGGGAGGAGGGGGAGGAGAGGCTTGGGACAGTGGGTTTCCTTCCAGGGCTCTGGTTTGCTATCACTTGGCCACTTTGGAGCACAGGAAGTCAGGGACCCCTTGGAACCCTGGCCCCCTCCCTGGGGAGGAGGCATGATGTCACAGAATCATTGGTGAAGTCACCGAATTCTGTTACCCTGGGGACTAGAGTGATATCTAACTTGAGGGAGTAAAATTCCCCAAAGTTGCAGACCTATAGAATGTTTGAGGTGTTAGGAAAAAGTCAGTCCAACTTCACTGTATTATATTTATTTATAATATTTAATAATACTATCAATAAATTGTATTATTAAAATTTGATAAGCCTCTTGGGCCAGCCCAGGTGATCATAAATGTTATTCCTTTCCCTTTAAAATGGGTCATATATTGTTAATAATAGTTGAGGTTTAGTGCTTTAAAATTTACAAAGCGCTTTCCTTGTAATCACCCTGTGAGGTAGGTGCTACGGGGACTACCATCCCCATTTTACAGAAGAAGAAACTGAGGCTTAGGGAGGTCAAGTACCCTGCCCCAGATTCACACAGCTGGTAAAAATCAAATGACAATGGGAATTTGAACTTCTATTTTCTTGGTGCCGCTTACACAATAATTTACCACCAGCTTCTAGAAGGGCCTTTAGAGATCACCTAGACAGGTTCTTAGCCTTTTTGTGTGTGTCCCAGAACACCACCTCCCCTCCCCTCCCAGCTTTGGCTGTCAGTCTGATGAAGCCTAAAGACCTTTTCTCAGAATCATGTTTTTAAATGCATAAAATGAAATGCATAGAATTACAAAGGAAACTAATTATATTGAAATAGTTACCAAAATATTTTTTTAAAAACTAAATTAATGAATCCTTTGAAATCTATCCAACAACCCCCAAGGGTCCATGGACTGTACGTTAAGAACCTCCAGTTTTGTCCAACCCCTTTATTTTATAGGTCAGGAAACTGAGGGCCAAAGAGGCTTATCTGACCTCACCCAACTACGAGGCATAAACTGAGATTTAAACCCAGGTCTAATCTCCTAGATAGGTGAAAAGTACTAGACTTGAAATCTGAAGATCCGGGTTCAAATCTCTGCTCCTAACTCACTGTATGACCTTCCTCGAGAATATTCTTTTCTGATTCTGACCCTCAGTTTCCCCATCTTTGAGGAAACATTGTCAATGAGATCTTTTCTAGCTAGGACATTCTTTGAGTCTCTGACTCCTAGTTCAGGGGTTCACAGTGATGAGTAAATATGGCCCAGACAGTGCAAGGGGCTATTTACCACAGTTTATGTGATGCTCTTCCCACATTTTGTGGCATTTCCATGTTTCTGCTCCACTCCACCCCATCACAGGCTTCCCCAGGCAGAGATTGGAGGCTCCCCTAGCTTTTATCTATGCTTCAAGGCAAAATAATTAGGGCTTGGGATACCAACATCTGGGAGCATGGTGCTTTCTGCCTCTCAGGGTCCTCCAGCCCATGGTCCTGAGCCTTAGTCTGTCTGCAGACCTATGCAATGAGGCCAGATAGACTGACTGCCTTACTGGCTCAAAGGTCCCAGTTCTGGGGCAGAGGGAGGAGGGAGACTGACATCACCCACACACGTGTACCACCAGCCTCTTCCTGAAGAAGGGCTCTGGGTTTGAGGAGGGGTAGGCTGTGCTGCAAGGGTATATACTAGAGTAGCGGTGGTTGAGGCCACATGTGGCCCTCTAGGTCCTCAAGTATAGCCCTTTGAATAGATTCAGTCAAATCAATTCAGTCAAAGGGCCACACTTGAAGACCTAGAAGGCCACATGTGGCCTCAAAGTCATAGGTTCCCCATCCCTGATTTAGACTCTCTGGGGAAGACTATCTCTTTTCTCACATCAACTGTACCTGAGGCAGGAGGCAATCCTCTGCTCTTATCAAACCTCTTTTGGCCCATGACATTGCCTCAGGCACAATTCTGCCCCAGGGATGGTAAATTTTTCACAGAAGCTCCTGCTGAAGCCCCCACTGAACCCTCTTCCCTCCCCCTCCCAAAAAAAGACACCACACGGGCTGGCCCTGGAGACTTAGAAAAATGTATTCATTTGTTTCCCTTTGAAATGATGTACACACAGGCAGAGAGACTTGGGGGTTAGGGAGCATGAGTAAGGGAAGAGGGGTCTCTGGATACTGCCTCTCCACAGGTACTAGATTCTCTGCTTTCACAGGGAGGAGACCTTTTAATACCTTGATTCTCAGACCTCACCTCCACCCCCAGCCTCAGAATCCACCTATAAAATGCAGTCTCTACAGAGATTCCCTAGAGGATGCGGAAGGGTGTGGAGTGAGAGAGAGAGAGAGAGAGAGAGAGAGAGAGAGAGAGAGAGAGAGAGAGAGAGAGAGTGTGTGTGTGTGTGTGTGTGTGTGTGTGTGTGTGTGTTGGGAGAAGAGCTGTTTCTTACCCCAATAGAAAAATAGACCTGGGTCAGATGATTTTAAGACTTCTTTCTCTTTCTTTCTTTCTTTCTTTCTTTCTTTCTTTCTTTCTTTCTTTCTTTCTTTCTTTCTTTCTTTCTTTCTTTCTTTTTTCTTTCTTCCTTCTTTTTCTCTTTCTTCTCTCTCTTCTCTCTCTCTCTCTCTCTCTCTCTCTCTCTCTCTATCTATCTTTCTGCATGATTGGAATGTGTGTGTTTTGAGGATGCTGGAGAGAGGGACATGGACCTAAGTATGGCTCAGCAGGAGGTCCTAGCCCTATCCTGGGTCCCTTTTCAACCCTATTCAAACTCATCTCCTACCTAAGGCTGAGGAATGGGAGAAGGAAAGAAAAGGGGATGTGAGAGAAACTAGTGGAAGGTTCATCCTCAGCTCTGGGTTCCTGGAGGGTCTCTGCCTGGGGCCATAGGGTCCCCTCCCTCTAGCTGGGATTGGCTAGTATATCTCCCCCATGTTATATTCCCCCACAGATGCGTTGGGCTGATCTGTCTGTGGTGACAGGGGAGGAGTCAGGGCTGGAGCACAACAGTGTCACTACCATGGGAGGGAGCCAGGGGATAGGGGAAGGGTCCAGGGAATTTACACTGCCATTGGGGAACCAGTGGTGCTGCAGTGCAGGGGTTTAGGGAGAGGGTTGGGGAGAAGACCAGATCATTCCCAGTCAGTGCAGTGGGTAGGTAGGGGTAAAGTGCCACCACCGTCCCCACCTCCACCAGAGGTTGGGAATCCAATGCCAATGCCATGCAGAGCAGATCCTGGGACAGGTTCCTCCGGTGATCCAGTGTCAGTGACCAGGTTGGGGTAGATCAGCTGGTTGCAGGCTTTAGGAGCAGCCAAGAAATCTGGCACAGGGGGTTGGCCTTATCACCAGGATCCAGAAGAGAAGGGACAGGATCCAGCAGGGAGAGGAAGGGGGGAACCCCCAGCCCCTCACCTGGTTGTAACCCCCAGGGCCTGTTTCATGTTCTCATAGACGACATAGGAGATGCTGACAGCTGGAATCACTTTCATGAAGTTGGGGGCGATGCCTCGGTACAGGCCCCATACCCCCTCTCGGGAAAGGATATGGCGGAAGAGGCCCAGCATGGTGAGCTGTGGGGCACCCTCGACAGAAGCTGAGAGAGAGGCAGTGTAAGGGCAGCAGTCAGATTCTGCTCAGAGATTCAGGTCCAACCCCTCCCTGACCTTCCTTAGGGCCAGACTCTAGGACTGGTGGATGGGGAGGGTGGCATGCATGCTATAGCCTTAGATGGAGGGAGGTTAGATTCAAGTCAGGACCTAACAGGCTGAGAGCAGCAGCTAGGCCCGGGGGACAGATACCCCACAGAGAAAATTCAGAAACCACAGATAGACCCAGTGAGCTGTCAGACTCCTATTTGGCCCTCAATAATCGTCCATAAGTTGTGCCTACAGGGAAAGGTTGGAAGTAGGGCGGACACACTACCCTGAGAAAAGGAAACCTCAGGGTGACGCACCACCAAGTGTAGGCATAAGCAGATAATCTAAAAATGCAAACCCATAATAACTGTTCTCAGAAAAGTAAGAAGCCTGAAACTGGGAATACATGGATAACCCCCAAGCCCAAGTCCCACAAAAAACATTGAAACTAAACCCACAGACAATCCCCAAACGCCAGCCACTAAAGAGTCTGGAAGTAGAACAAAGCAGTTAGGAGAGCCCTGCTGCCCTTGGGTGCTGCCCGGGCTGCCTTAAGGAGCCCCAGGGGTTCTATTGGATTTTGTTTTTCTTTACCCTGTTGACTGTCAGGCACCAGGAGCCCTCAGTGGGTGGGAAAGGAGAATGGAGGGGCCAGAACGATATTCCACAGTCCAGGAGAACCTCCAGGAGAACCAGGAACCTATTGACTTCCTCCAGCCCTGTCCTTCCACCTTGTCTTTTCCATGACCCGGGCTTGCAAAAAGTGACTGAGAGATTAGCCTACAGCTCTTATATTATAACTATGATTTTATAGCCCCAGGAGGTTAAGATGTCCACCCTGGCCCCAAGGTGGGTGAATCCTCTGTTCTGTCCTTCCTCCCTCCCTCTGGGCCTCACTCACCCTGAGCTTGCATGCGAGTTCGGACCAGAGCCAAGGGATAGCTGGCGATCTGGCCACAGGTACTGGAAACGGTGCCGCAGGCCAAGAGGATGAGGATCCCTGGGTCAGCCGAGTGGTGGCTGTCCTGCTGGAGCCACTTGTTCTTCAGAGTCTGGAGAAGGAGGACCCAGAGCTGGGGATCTCAAAGCGCCTTTACAGCCCAATTCATGGGCCTTCCCTGGGAGTTATGTCTTCCTGTGCTACTGGAGGATAAATTGAGGCAGCATTGAGCCCTGAGGGGGATAGTGAGGGGGTCCTTGGCTGAGGGGAGGTCCAGGATAGTATCCAGGGGATTTTAGCTCCATAGAGAAGGGGAGGGACCGACTGACCTCATAGACGGCCAGGTCGATTCCTGCATATGGGATAATGCCCAAGACGTTGGGCAGGTAGCCCTTGTAGAAGGCTCTGGGCCCCTCCTGCTCTAGGATTTGCCTCGCACAGTCCAGCAGTCCTTTGTACTGGCCAGTCTGACGGAGGGTTAGCCGTGTCTTCAGCACCTGCAATGAGGCCCCAGAACAGCTATGTTCAGCTCTGTCCAGAACAAGTAGACAGGGAATCTGATAATCTAGTCCTGAAGGAACTACTCCCACAGCAAGTATCCCTGGAACAGACATAGAACAGCTAGCCCTAAGACAAATGGTAGCCCCACAACAGGTACATCCGAAACAACTACCCCTGGGACAGTTATAAAGAACCGAGTCAGATCCCCCAGGCCAGCTACATCCTAGATTAGCCAAACTTGAGACAGTCCTCAATTAGTTAAGTACCCCCTTCTTCCTTACCAATGGCTACCCCTATAGCTCTGCCTGCCACAGTTACTTTCTCAAACAGATAACTCCAGCATAACTACATACACATGACTTATCCCCGAGAATAGCCATATTCTGGAAGACCGACTACCTCAGTATCCTATTGCTGTGTGGTAGTCAAGCTGATACTCTCCTGAATAACTACAGTCAGAGACTCCAGAAGGGAAGATGGTACCCAGACCTCCCCGCCAATGCTGCTCTGACCTCCCAGGGAGCCTGTGGCTAGAGGTGCCTTGCTCTTAATGCCCCCCTGGGCAGCCTTCCCTAGTGAAAAGCCCAATCCTTTCCCTGGCCTTGGTCTCTCTCACCTCCATGGGATAGATGATGGTTTGGGCTGTGGCCCCAGCCAGGGACCCTGCCACAAAGCGTTCCTGCACCCGCAGCGTCTCCTGCTGCCCCCGAATCGCCCACTTGATCTGAGGTGTTCACAGGGGATTGTCAGGATTCTGGCATCTGTGTCAACCATCCCTTTGGAGGGGCCCTCCCTCTTTCTTTCCCTGCCCAGCTCCTGGAGAGACAATGTCCTGCCAAGGGGCAGCAAGCAAGGGAACAGATACCTCTTCCCTCATGCCAATCACATATTTTCTCATGCCCATAACATGCTTCTCTATGTCAATCACATCCCCACAATCCAACTATATACTTGCTCACAGCAATCACACATGTGCCCCTATCTATACTCACCTGCTCATAGGCCATGAATTTGATGGCAGATTCAGGTGCAATCTTGAGCACGTTGATGCCATTTCCACGCCACAGAGAGCGGATGCCACCCTCTTTGACCATGCTCCGAAGCCCCCCTAGGACATTCAGCTGGTTGGTCTTGGAAGCATGAACCTGACAAGGGGAAGGCAAGGCCAACTTTAAAATCTCCCAACCTGGGGGCTCTCCAAAAGATTTTGGACACAGGACCCAGGATTGGGATCTAAGGCCTCCATGCCTAATGATTGGGGAATTAGGTTAGGGGAAGAAAGGATGTTCCCTGACTTTGGCTGAGGATGGGCTTTATCAGGGGAAGGGTTGGCCTTTACCTGCATGAAAACCTTTAGCCGGTCAAGTGGAGCTGTGCCCGTTCGTGACACAGCCCCCGCCACAGCTCCTGCCACCAGCTGTTTCCACCACATGCCTGACAGCTTCTCCTGTTCTGAGAACTCATCTGGCACTGTGAGACATTCACCTATGTCCAGGACCTGACCAGGGGTAGGAAGAGGAATTGAGGTGTGTCGCTCTGGTAAGGAGATCCTCCTCTCTCATGGGATCCATCACTTAAAGATTGCTACCCAGCAGAGCCCCCTTGAGTCCTGCCCAGGACATTCAACTCCAGGATCTGCTAAGATCTCACTATTGGATCCTACCTACGGGTTCCCACTTGAGTCTTTCAGGGGCTACCTCAGCCTGACAGATCCTAATCAAGGGACCCTACCAGATTTTACTGTCAAGTGCCAACCAAATCTCCACCACCATCCCCTGCCCCAACCCCAGATGGGGATCCTGCCCAGGGATATCCTTGCCCTTGCCCCAGGTTACAGGGAAGTAGGAGGGGGCCTCACACCCTGGGGCCTTCCCCAGATGGTTTGCCAGCTTGAGAGTCCTGGTGCCTCTGAACTCTGTTCCTCAATGCCCGAATGAAACAGAGAAGAATGGTAAATCCTCTAAGGGGATTAGGGCCTGAGGAGCCTTGGAGATGGGGGGAGTGAGGAGGAAAGGGGAAATCTGACCTAGAATGGCTCCTTCTCTGGGGTCCAGTTGTCCTGTGTGACCCTAGCTCTCTTTCTTTGGGAACCTGGGCATCTGACTTTTCAGCTTCTGGTCCTCCCCCTCTTCAGAGCACTCTTTTCCCCTCCCAGGGTATGACCTTGACCCTTTCCTTCTAGTTGCCTAGGCACCGTGCCCCCAGGCAGCGCACCGTGGAGTGCTTCCAGAATGTCAGCACGTCTTCCATGTTCTCCAGGGGCTGTAGCAGGAAGTGGTCTCGCCATTCTTGCCAGTCAATGGTCATTGTCCCATCACGGTCCATGCTGGGAAGGGAGGGAGGGGAGGGCGGGCTGGGGATTGGGAGGAGGGGGTGGATGCCAGGGTTCAGGCTGCAGGGTAGACACCTGGGTCTAGGTTGTGTGTGTGTGCTTGGGGATGAGGGCAGACACCTGAGTTCAGGCTAGAGGGAGACCCAGAAACATGGGTTCAGGCTATGTGTGTATGGGTAAGGGAAGAGACATCTTGGTTTAGGATGGTGGAGGTGGAGAAGACAGCACAGATTGAGGGTTTTTTTGGGGGGGAGGGAGAAACTTGGCTTCAGGGTGGTGGGGATGGGAGTGTAGACACAGATTCTGGATACCTAGGACACTCACCTGTGCAGAATCTTTTCAGCCTGCTGCAAAGAGATGGAAACACCCAAGGCTTGGAAGCTCTGTTGGATTTCTGAGGCATCTATATGGCCTGGGAGGGTAATAGGGAAAAGAGGTTTCCATGGGTTGAATTCACTTGATCTTGAGTGAGAGGAAAGTAGGGACTGATGAATTAGAAGAGATGACAGTCACAAAAGAAAGTAGGAAGGACTCTTTTCCCAGGGGCTTGGGATCAAAGTGGGAACCTAGGAGAAAGGGCCTAGGAGACCAGAGGCTGGGACTGAATAGTAAGCAACTAGCCAAGACAGGGGATTAAAGGACCAAAATATTTGGGATAAAGGGGGACATTGCAAGCCAACCTCCTCACTTTACAGATGAGGAAACCAGGCCCAGAGAAGAGAAGGGACTTGTCTAAGGTCACCTAGGGAGTGAGAAAAGGCAGAGAAAAGAATTGAGCCTAGAGTTTCCTGATGGAAAACCCTAGGTTCCGTCTACTCCACCATGTTGCTTCTCACATGCTGGGATTGAGGGGGAGCCATAGATCATGACTGAGGGGCATGTGGGATTTAATGAGCTCTAGGAACTAGGGCCCTAGGGCATCGCAGGAAGCAAAGAAGTAGGTGGAACCTCTGGGAAAGGAGGGAGAGAATAAAGAAAGGAGGAAAGGAAGGGCCCCAAGGGCTGTTCTCAAAATAGTCTGTGAGTCACCAGGAAGAAGCCACCCCCCTTCTTCTCTCCCCCCAGGGCTGTCACCCTGGATTGTCTCCTGCCTGAGCCCAACCAATGGCTTCCCTGAAGCCTGGGCTGGGGCAGAAGGGAAAGGGGCAGAGAAGAGTCCCCCGTATCAGAATTCTCAGCCCAGCCCAACCCAGTTTTAGCCGCACCATCCTGGTTCCGGTCCAGGCTGTGGAACATGAGCAGAAGCCTTCTCTCATGCTCCTGCAGGTAGCGGGTGAATTCCTCAAGAGTCAGGCCCCCATCTTGGTCTATGTCTCCCTCCTGTAGAATGTCCTGGGGATGGGGGGGAGATAATCATGATGGGGCTTGTAAGGGAAGGAAACAGTCAACACAGGGCTCATAGGAAGGGACCCCTCTTGCCTTGTACTTAAATCACTAGGATTTAGACATGAAAGGGATCTTAGAGATCATCTCATTAGGATCACCAATCCTTTTAGGTGAGAAGACAGATCCACTATGTGGAAGTGACTTGCCCAAGGTCACCTAGGTAGCAGACGGCAGATCCAGAAATTGATCGAAGGTTTTCTGACTCTGAATCCATGCTTTTCCCACTATCTTTCTAGTTTTTTTCTAGAGCTACAAGAATGTCACTGGGAACTGGGCCATCAGCTAGCACAGCAGACCACCCTTCTCCTCCTTCTGCTTGGGGGATGGAGGAGATTGAGGAGGACTAAGGTTAGCATACTCTAGCTTCCCCTTTCCCAGATCCTGGGAGCCAAAACCCAGATGTTCAAGTCCCCCAGCCCTCTCCGGACAGCTAGATTCCCACTCTCAGTGGCAGAAACAGGCCTGAGTTAAAATAACAATCATTCTCATTTCTCTAGTAGTTCAAGGTTTACAAAGTACTTGTCTTGGTAGATAGGTAATACCATTTCATAGGTGAGGAAACTGACTGAGAGAGGATAAAAATGAGGAACAATATGTTGTAACAGAAAAGGTTTCAAGTTAAAAGGCCTGAGTTTGAATCTTGGCTCTGCAAATTATTACCAGAGTGGCCTTGAACAAATCTCAGGGCCTCCAAAATGGGGATAACAGTCCTTGAACAACTTGATGCTAGGCTCTTCCGCTCTCTAAGAATACACAGGGATGAAGCCCAGTTCATGAGAGATGCACTCTCTGGGAGATCCTGCCCTTGCCTTAGCCTTTCCTTAGCAGGAAGGAGGGAGGACAGGATTGGACCCCCACCTCCAACACACACACACACACACACACACACACACACACACACACACACACACACACACAGTCTTGCATGCAAGCTAGGCAGGGTGGCCCAACACCCCACCCCCACCCCCATCCCCAACCAGCTCTGTGTTTACATTCCAGGCATCAGGCTCACTAAGTCCCATGACCAAAAAGCTCAAGGAAGGGAAAGCCAAGTGGGCACAGCTTCCCCAGGGAACTGTGTTCTTATTAGACGGGACCAGCTCAGCTATCTTCCAACAGTAGCCTGTTGATTACTGAAGAAAGGAGGAAAGGAAGGGCTAAACTGTAGGGTCTCTGGAGGCCCTTAAGAAGAGTTAAATGCCCCAGGGGACATCAGTCTTTAGATGGCACTAAAGGTTGCCCCACCCCCCACATTTGACCCAGTTTGGAGAGGCAGTACAATATGGTGAGAAGAACCCTGGATTTGGAGTCAAGATCTAGGTTCGAATTCTTGGCAACTGATTACTAGTGTGACCTTGGACAAGCCCCTGGGTCTTAAAAATGGTAACCCTTATACAACTTCTCTGGGCCTCCGTCCAGGCCCAGATAAATGAGGAGGCTGGACTAGAATGTCTCTAAAGACCCTTCCAGCCCCATGTAAATGCTCGTATGATGGGGTCTCTGCCCCTCAGTTGGTGCTGGTGGGTTGTGGCTCACAGATATGTTGGTGTGAGTCACCTGGGGCCAACTGTCTGAACCAAGCTGGTAATACTGACATACACTTTGCTTTCCCTCCCCTGACCTAGTGGATTTCATCAGAAGCTAGGGATGGCAACGATGGAGAGGACTCTATCTCCCAAGGGGCTTCTGCAGGTAGCCTAGGATGATTCCAGACTCTGATGAGAACCGTGAGAAGAGACTTGTGAAATGCCAGACTGGGGGAAGGTACTGCTTGGGAGAGAGCATTTACAGGCACCACAGTGAGTACTGTCCCTGGGGTAATTTTGGGGTACTACTCAGGGTCTTCCCACCTTTGGGAGGTACCAGCAGGGACATGCCAAACAAGAGAAGGTAAATGGGATGATTCCAGATCCTGACGAGCACTGCCTGGGGCTAAGTTCCATTCAACTAGGCCACTACCAGGGAGATGCTAGGCTGGGGATGGACACCACCAGGGAGTGATTCCAGCCTTTGGCAGGTGCTGCTAGGGCAGACTGGTACCACTAAGATATTAGGGTGGAGGAGGACGTGGAGGACCTGTCCCACGGGTGTCAATGTAGGCTTATAGGATCTCCCTGGCTGGGAATGGGATGCCATTGACCTTTTGCCCACCTGCCCACCACCCACAGGAGTGCCCATACCTGGCCGGCGCTGTCCGGGGTCCTCGCACCCAGCCGGGCCAGCCCCAGGCGCAGCTCGTGAATGTCCACGCGGCCATCCTTGTTGCTGTCCAGCTCATCGAAAAGGAGGCCCCATCGCTGCTGGCGCTCGGGGTCCCCGGCAGGGGTGCTGCGGCCCGGGCTGGCCCTGGCCATGGCTGCACCGTGGCTACCACCTCGAGCTTGACCCAGTGGCCGCTTGCCTCATGCCCCTACCGGGCCCGGCTCCCTGGCCCTTGAGGGAGGGGAGAGGGAGATACAGGGACGGAGGGAGGGAAAAGGGAGGGGGTGGCCCGAGTTCAGCTGGGGCTGAGAGCCTCCCCCCTCCCCCCCCCAGCCCACCGGCACCAGCTAGGCCGGGCCAGGCTGGGATTGAGGCGAGGACTGCTCCACAGCAACAGCCGTGTCCCTCGGCTAAATCCCAGACAACCGCCCGGGGGCTGGGAGAGCTACCGGGAGGAGGAGGGAGGCAGGGAGAGAGGCTGGCAGGCAGTCAGGCAAGCAGACAGGCTTTCGCTGCTTGTCGTCGCCGCCCGGCGGAGATCTGGCACCTCCTCCCCGCCCCCACTACCCTTACCCTTGGCTCCATGGGAGCAGAGAGCGGGGGATGATAAGGAGCTGGAGAGCCAACACTCTTGGGTTCTGGGATACTCCCCTCCCTTCTCTAGCCACGTGGGAGAGGGTGGTGAGGAATGGGACTTCTGCCCCCCCCCCCACCCGGTGGTAACTTGTTACAGAAAGCGTGGGATCATGAGGACTCGGGGGCAGGGACTCCTGGGTCCTCCCTCCCCAACACAGTTGGAGCGAGAGCGGGGGATAGCGAAGGGCTGGGATTCCTGGATTCTGGGTCTTCCCCTCCTCTCAGCCCCGTGGGAGCAGGGAGTGTGAGGAGACAAGAAGGCAAGACCCAATTTTGAGAGACAGCAGAGGGGTGGTGAAGAACAGAGACACGAGAACTCTTGGGTTCTGGGTCCTCCATTCTTCCAGCACCGGGGCATCATAGGATCATAGATTCTGAGCTTGACGAGGCATCCGAGATCATCTAGTCACCGCGATCAGGGGATGGTGAGGAGCTGTGTGAGAGGGAGAGATCCCTGGGTTCTGGGACCTATTCCCCTCCATCCCAGTCTTGAAGGAGTAGAGACTAGGAAAGTGAGGAACTAGGCGGGGGAAGGATTGCTGGGCTTTGGGTCTTCTCATCACCTAAGGAGCAGAGAGATGGCTGAGAGATGGGGATCATAAGGAGAGTGTGTGGTGTGTGTGTGCAGGCGCGGGTAGAAGTGGGGCGGGGTGTGTGTGTGTGTGTGGGGGAAGTGCTGTCAGGATTTCTAGGTTTGGCGCATGAGACCAGAAGAGAGGTGGAAAGGACCATTTGGGAGTCGGAAAGCAGACATGCTGAGGACAGGGGAAACCAGACACCAGGATTCTTTCCAAACTCAGAAAATGAGGGCGCGGGAAGAAGCTAACGACCAACCCGGTGCCTGGAGGCAAGTTGCTATTCTAGGTGCCCTAACCCTTTGTGTGACTCAGTTTCCCACCTTCCCGGGAATCGATACCCCCCTCCACTTGCAGTGTGTAAGGGGGAAGAGCTCCAGAATCTGTCTAGAGTCGGATAATTCCCCTCAACCGATTAGGGTCATGGGGCCTCAACCTGATTTAACCGCTAATCCTCCCCTAGTCTCGTTAAAAGGTGCCTTGTCGCCTGAGAATGAGCCCGCCCGCACTTTTCCGGGGCCTAGCTGTAGCCGAGAATCACAAGATCAAAGCTCGGCCGCGGCTCCTTCTCCGGCTCACCATTGGCTTAGACTCCCAAGGCCGAGCTCAGCCTCCTCCCGCTGACCTCCTGCCGGCACGAGCCTAAACTATTAGGCTCGGCCCGGCTCCGGAACTCCTTAAAGGGGCCTTGACCCACCATGTACACCCGGAGTCTGAGCGTATCCAAGGCTCTCTCCACCTCAACCAAATGTTGGCCGCGCATTGCTCTCGTATCTGATGGAAGCTCCCAGAACGAAGAGTATATCCATCCTCTCGGTCCCAAATTTCCCATGCAGTTTCTCATCTCCACCGCTAGGGAGGCGTGCTTGGTTGGGGAAAATTAGGTAAGGGTCGGTAGGAGGATTCGATTCAGTGAGAACTAGGGTAATGAAGCAGTTTCTTATAAAATGAGAAGGACCTGGACAATTTCCTTGGGTTTAGAGTCAGTTTAGAATTTAGAGCATTTATTAAGCACCTACTGCATTCTAGACGTTGCCTGAAAAGGCAAAATGCACTCCCTGTTCTCAAGGAGTTCACAGTCTAATTGGAGAGACACCTTGCAAACAACTATGTAAAGACCAGCTATACACAGAATAAAATGGGGGGAGGGGAGGATTGTCAGACCCTATGAATAGGGGGATTCAGGAAAGAATTCTTGCAGAAGGTGGGACTTTAGGTGAGACCTGAAGGAAAGAGAAGAAGCCAGGAGACAGAAATGATAAGAGAGAGTGTTCCAGGTATGGGAAACAGCCAGCAAAAAATGCCTGGAATCTGGAGATGGATTGTCTTTTTTTTTTTTAAAGGAGCACCAAGAGGTCATGGAACTGAAGAGTAGGTGAAGTTAGGGGAATAAACTTTCCAGTTAAGACTGGAAGGGTAGGAAGGGCCCAGGTTGTGAATGCTAAGCAGTTGATCTTAGAGGTAATAGGGATGCATGGGAGTTTATTGAATCAGGTGGGGGGTGGGGTGGGATGGGAAGGGTGGGATGGTCAGACCTGAACTTTAAGATCACTTTGACAACGTGAGTGGTGGAAAGTAAGGAAAGGCTGGAAGCAGGGAGACCAATTGGTGGCCTGTTGCAATAGTTCAGGTGTGAGGTGATGAGGGCCTGTATCAGAGGGAGAGAAGGGGGCATAGTTGAGAGAGATTGCAAAGATAGAAACAACAGGACTTAACAATTAATTGGATATGGGAGATGAGAGTGAAGAGTTGAGAATGCATCTAAGTTTCCAGCTTCCAAGGGTGGGAAGATGGTGGTGCCCTTGACAATATTAGGGAAGTTAGGAAGAGGGGCATTTGGGGCAGGAGAGATAATGAGTTTGTTTTGGACATGTTGAATTTAAGATGTCTATAGGACATCCAGTTGGAGATGGCTAATAGAGGAGAGCAGAGGGGCCATGTAGATCTTAAGGCAACTCAGTTCAGATAGTTTTGGAAGGCCACTGTGTGTACTCCCATACAGATGTGCCCCTACAGATTGAGAGTCAATATGATATCATGGAATAAATATTGAATTTGGAGTTAAAGTACTCGAGTCTAAATCCCACCCCTGCCACCACCTGTGTGACGTTGGGCAAGTCATTTTAACCTCTATGGCCTGAGTTTCCTCATCTGTAAAATGAGCGTTTGGAGTAGATGAGGTTCCTTCAAGCTCTATTCAACATCTATGAATTTGTGATTCTATGTGCCACATATAGATGTGTCTCTGTACAGGTGTTCTCCCATGAAGTCATATTTCCAAGTCGGAGTGTTTCTAGTTAATTTCCCCTTCCTTTCAGGTATGGCTCAGAGGCTTTTCCCCTCTCTCTTTATCATCATCCATTAACTATCCAGTTGCTGCCTTGGTGATTTCCTAGTACTGGTGGAATCTAGTGAATCCTCAGTCAGATAAATCTTGCCTGCATTTTCTCATATAGCTGTGTTCCCCCTTACAGATATGTTCCTACTCACTGAGGTGTTTCATTCAAATTACAGGTGTGTCCCCCATCTATTAAAACTATGTCCCTCATAACAAGTGGGTCTTCCCCAACAGGTATGTGGTTCCTCTTAACAAGTCTGTCCCTTATTTTAGGTGCTTCCCCCAACAATTATGTTCTCATTACAAATGTGACTTCCTTCATGTTTTCCCTCTCCTTTTGAGTCATTTTTCAGTCATGTCTAACTCTTCATGACCCTTTTGGGGGTTTTCTTGGCAAAGATACTGGAGCCATTTACCATTTCCTTCTCCAGCTCATTTTACAGATGAGGAAACTAAGGCAAATGAGGTTAAGTGACTTGCCCAGGGTTACACAGCTAGGTAGTGTCTGAAGCCAGATTCGAACTCGGGATGATGAGTCTTCCTGACTCCAGGCTAGGCATTCTATCCAGTGTGCCACCTAGCTTTCCTTCAGACCTCCTTAATAGGATAGGTTTACTCCCATTAATGGTTTTTGCTTCCTCCATTACAGGTGTATGATTTCCCAAAAGGTGCATATTTCTCCAATAGGAGTCCCCCTAAAAGATGTGACTCCTAGAACAGTTTTGTGGCCCCCTTACAGGTTTGTCCTTGTCAACAGGTGCATCCCGTATTACAAATGTCTTTCCTAAAAATTTGTCTCCATTTAAAGTATGTCTCCTCACCAGGTGTCTACCTATTAAGTTACAGTAGTGTGTCCCTCATTATGTTTTTACCCCATTAAAGGTGTGTATTCTCCCAATACAAGTCTATACCTCCCCTCTTATGTGTGTCCCATTGTAGATGTATCTCCCCATGGGTTTAATATCCCATTACAAGTGTATGCTGCCCAATAGGTATTTGTCCTGCTACAGGCATGATTCCCCCTACAGATGTATGTCCCATTAGGTATGTGTCTCTCTCCCCCCACCCTCCAACAGTATGTCTCTTTAGCAGGTGTTTTCCATTAGAGATGTATCCTCTATTACAGGGTTATATACTCCAATACAGTCATTCCACCTTACAGGTGTGTGTTCTCTGTTACAGGTGTGTCCAGCTTAGCCCTGCCCCCTTACCTGGGGCTCAGGTGCACAGACAGGAAGTGCGCTCCCCCTCCCAGGTGAGTGACTAAACTTTCCGGGTCACGTGAGCGGGTGGAGCCGGCTGGAAACTACTGAGGGACAGTAGGACTGACTGCCAGACTGAGGACCAGAGCTGAAAGCTGGCGCCAGGTAGGGGGTGGGGCAGCTCAGCCCAACTCTTCCCTTCTTTTGGTTTCCCTTCTCGACCCCCAGACCTTCTTCCGGGCCAAGCTGGGTTAATCGTTAATTCCTAGCTGGGAAAAGCGGATGGGGGAGCTGGGAGGCGGGACTCCTGAGTTCCTTCTGGGCTAGGGGCACCTGCCCTGCTGGGATCCTGGCTCTATCCCTCCCCTTCCCTTTCCCCTCCTGGGCCTTAGGTTCTCTCCTTTCTTCCCCTCTCCTTTCCCCTTCACAGTAGCCTGAGATGCAATAGCCACCGGAGGTCGGGAGCCAGGTCAGCCGAGGCATAGGCCTGGTTCGGTTCCCCAGGGGCCCATGGCGAGCAGCCCTGGCCTGGGCCTGTGCTTGGCACTGAGCCTGCAACTATTGAACCCCCAGCCCTCCTTGGCCCATAGTAAGTAACTTCAGGTACTGGTGCCTGGCTTCTTTATATTCCTGGTCAGAGGTGAGGGCCAGGGTGTTTGGGTCCTCAGCCCTGAGAGGAGGGGGACAGATTAGAGGTAAGGATTCCGGTGGGGATACCTTTCAGGATATATGTTTAGAACTGGAGCCCAAGGATATAGATCCTTTATTTAGGAGGGGGGTGAATGTAGCCTGGGGGTCTATACCAGATGCCGGGAGAGCAGGGAGGTAGTCCTAGCTGGGATTCCTAGGAAGGATAAGTTTAGGTTGGAGAAACCAGCTGGGAGCCGGGATATTTGGATCCCCTCCTGGGAAAAGTCCTAGAGCTTGTGTACTGAGAGTGGGTAGGGCAGGATGCCAGGATACCAGGATACCTGGGGCGAGGAGGGGGAAGGTATTCAGAGCTGGGGGAATAGGATGCCAGAGTTGGATTAGATTTTGCCCGCCTGGGTTCTCTCTGACCCATACTGTATCTGGGCAAAGTCCCTTAGAGGAAAAGGGGTGGAGCTTGAAGGGGGACAAGAGCTAAGGAGACTGGGTAGGGGAAAATCTAGCTTCTGCTCGTGAACTGGACATAGGTATTCAGGGATCCTAAGCTAGCTGGAGCCTTTTTGGGGAGTGGCTCAAATCATTCTAGTTTCGGGAGCCTGGGGGAGGGGGACTTTGGTGAGTCAGGCACTCCCGGTCTAAATAAGTAGTAAAGGCCATGCCCACACCTGGGGTTGATGTGGCCTGAGGGGGAAGAGGGAGGGGGCAATGGTGTTAGTTTTGAGTGTGACTGCTGGAACCTATTCCTTTCCCTTCCCCCCCTCCCCTATAGATACTGGCTACTCTAGGGATGAAAACAACACGACTGCCCCTTCCACAGCACCACCGGACAGCGGGGCCTTGGTGAGTTTGGGAGGGGAGGGATGGTTTCCCTAGTAAATGTGTGATGGGAGGCAGAGATCTGGATTTTAGTTCTCTTTTGGGCTCTGTCTCCCCTTCTGTAAAGTAGGACTTAATGTTCCCTGGTAGTTCACACTGTTCGATGTTATAATGTCCTTTCCGACCTGAGAAGGTCCATGTGTGGCAAATGGAGGGGTATGTGTCTGTGGGGAGGGGAATGAGGGAAGATCTGAGCATGCCTTCTCAGTGGGTGACTCCCCTCCTTCCCCCTAGTCCCAGGGTGCAGTCACTGCCATCATCACTGTATTCTCAGTCCTGGGTATCCTCCTCCTGGTAGTGGCACTGGGCCTGCTGGGCCGGAAGCTTCGTGAGAAACGCCAGACAGAGGGCACCTACCGGCCCAGCAGTGAAGAGCAGGTGGGTGCCCGGGCTCCACCGCCCCCCAACCTGAAGCTTCCCCCTGAGGAGCGGCTCATCTGAGCACTGCATCCCCCTCTTCCTGCACATAACCTCACAGCCCGTTTCTGGTTTTGGACCTGCCTGATATTGGGCACTCAACCACTTTGACAACCCCCTTCAGGGAGCATCTGGAGTAACAGTGAGGGCCTCAGATGCTAAGGGCTGGCAGGGAGTGGGCAAGGGCTGCTGTCTCAGCTGCTGGCCGTGGCCACCCTCACTGCACCACCAAGCCTATTGCAGACTTCTGACTTTGGTCTGTGGACGTTGGCCTGGGACTGGCGGCTGCTACTTCTGCTTTTCCTGACTTAAACTGTGGTGGCCACCTGGCCCTCTCCCCTGATGGCCTGCTCCCGCCTTTCAACTCTGGTCTCCTTGCCTTTCAGTTGTCCCACGCGGCTGAGGCAGCCCCAGGTCCCCAGGACTCGAAGAACAAGGCGTGGGGCTGGGTGTCCTGCTGGGGTTAGGGTGGGCGAAAAAGGTTTGGGCCCCCTTCCCCTTTGTGGGGAGGGGCAGAGACTTCTACTGAGCATTCCGTCCCCCTCCCCAGGCTATTTGATTAACATTCCACCCTCCCAGTGGCCACTTAACTCTCTCAGGACTAATCTTCCCCTCTGGGTGAATAATAATAGGTATTTGAACTGAAAAGGAGGTGCTTGGAAAAGTCTTCTGCCCCTTCTGGAAAACCTCCCCCCACCTGCCTCCTTTCTCTGAAACTTCCTCCTCTCCCTGGTCCCTTTTTCCTCTCCCTTTCCATTGCCACTACCTCCAGTTCCCTAGAACTGTCCCTGGGAGGGGCTGCTTGATTTGTATTTTTTATAAAGATGGTCATAAGGTCAAACCCTGTATTTTATCATGGTGGTTGGGGTGTGGGGCTGATGCCCTAGGGTAATGGTGGGGTAGTAATTAAGTTTTTCTAAGCATCCACCTTAGCTCACCTGTTGCTAAAGTCCTTTTCTGCTCTAAACTGATTCTTTTACTAATGAAGGCAAACAGTCCCGAAGAGGTTTAGTGACTAGGGTTTAATGCTTTACATAGATTCCAAATCCCAAGCTAGTACTGTTCCCACTTAACTGAGACCCTTGAGGGGTCCCATAACTAGCTAGATGGGAATAGTAATTGCCATTTCTCTGGTGTTTTTAAAGTTTGCCACATGAAAACTTTACATGATCTCCATTAAACCTACCCACAACCCCATGACCAGAGGTGTTAACGTTCATTTTACAGAAAAGACAGGTTTGTATATTCAGTTGCTCTGCTTGCACTCGTAGCTTAGCTATTGATTGTCAGAATCAGAATTTGAACTTAGGTCTTCCTGGCTCCTGGTCTAGTGCACTATGCCAACCCATTTGGTTTGTAGGGCTCAGATTCCAAACCCAGAAAATGGGTCTTTGTTTCCTCAGATCTAAAAAGCCAGCTTATCTACTAGCTGGCTGCTAAAGGTTGCAGTATTACACAAAGCACAGGCCTGGAGTGGGGATGATTCATCTTCCTGAGTTCAAATCTGACCTCAAACACTAGCTTTGTGACCCTGGACAAGTCACTTAACCCTTTTTGGCTCAGTTTCTTCATCTGTACAATGAGCTGGAAAAGGAAATGGCAAACCACTATCTTTGCCAAGAAAACCTCAAATGGGTTCATAAAGAGTTGGACACAGTGGAACAGCATCTACCAGCTGCAAACCCTTTGGCCCTAGGTGACAGCTGAAACAAACCCAGATTTCCAGACTCCTCATTCAGTGATTCCAGCAAGTCCCTCATCTGGGGGAGCTAACTCAGTCTGGCTGGGGAAATCTGAAGGGTGCAAACTTGGCAGAGCCTGGTATATGTATAGAAAAATCCTGCCTCCCCAGGGAGTGAGGATGGAGGTCACTGGCACAGGAGAAATGGTTTTATTGGGGGAGGCATCAAGGACTCATGTGGGGCTTGGTAATACAAGGGAAATTGGTATTGTATGGAAGTGGGAGGAAACCCAAATTAGTCATTGGATTTTTTTTTCTCTCAGTTTGGCCTGGCCAAAGGAATCGCCCCTAACCCTCAAACTGCTTTTTGAGCTGAGCCACCCTGGGCTGAATGGAGACCCTCTCTCTGAGGCCTGGGGGCACCTCTCTATCAGTATTTTGGGGAATATGCACAGGGCTGGGGGGCCTGTATTCAGCACAGATATTGGGAGTCTTAAGTTCTAAAGACACTTGGGAGGACTGAGGTACATCAAGAATCCCAGGGGCCAGCAACTTTGACTCTGGAATTTCTTTCTCGGCCAGGAAGGGCAGATGACTTGGAGAAGTGGCTCGGGGAACCTCAGTCTCCACAGAGGTTTGGGAAGCCCTGGCTGCTTCTGACCCTTGACTGGGAAGAGCTGCAGCAGGGACTATGGGGGATAGCAATTGTTTCTTTGAAGTTTCCTCTTCCTCTAGGTGGTGTATCTGGTGGGGAGAGGGTGGAGAAAAATCAGCTGAATGGATGTACTGGCAGATTTGATGGAGCACTTGAGATATAACCAAAGTTCTTAACTTGGCATTTCCCTGCCATGGAATGGGCTTCCTGGAGAAAGGTCTTTAAGTTAAAAACTAGAGGACTACTAATTGGGGACCAGAGACTTAGAAATGAAAGAGAGTCTAGATGTCACCTAATCCAATCTCATTTTACAGGTGAGTCAGGTGTAGAGAGGTTGAAAGACTTGTCCAAGGTCACATTTACTAAGTAGTAGAAATCAGGGAGGTTTCTTGTTTGGCTAGATGTAGTAAAATCCCTAATAGCTATGATATATATTGTTGTAGAGAAATGTCCAGATATTTTGGGGAGAGTGCCCTAGAGGTCTGTTGGAGCTAAGGAGTCAGTGCTGCCCTTCCCCCATCTTAGAGAGCCCCCACTAGTTGAAGTGGGTGGTCCAGTGGGTATGAGCTGGAGACTTTAAAAGGGGGCTCACCAAGTTGAAACAGCTGCCCCGACCCAAGTGGCAGCTGTCCAAGCTGTGGCTGGGGTGCAGAGTAGGGGATTCTCCAGGCCCAGACATTCCAATGCTAAGATTGTCAAGAATCTCCCCAAGCAAGTCCAGTTCTCCTGAGCCCAGGAAGTTGCTGTCCAAGTCTTCTAGTCCCCAGGGTTCCTTGGGCCCAGACAGCGGTTCCCTAAGGGAGGAGAGAGGACTTGCTTCTAGTCCCAAATCCAGAATCCCAGCCCCAGAGGAATCCAACCTACCTTTGTTCCTCTCTCTGGGGTGCCTCGTCCTCAAAGTGGGATTGGGACCTCCTGGGACGAAGGGGCCTGGACTGAAAGGTATATTGGGAGGGTTAGCAATTCCCAGACACTTTTCTTCAGGGTGCAAAGTGGGTCTTGGGTATTGATCATCTATCCAGGTGATAATTTGGTATATGTAGGGGTAATGAGGTGTCCCTTACCTGGCCGAAGTGGTGGGTGATGGGTAGACGGTGTTGGAGACGTTCTGAGCGGTTGTCAAGGGCTGGGACCCTGAGAGAACCCCCCCTCTTCAGCAAGAGGTCACTATCCTGGGGGAAGGGAGGCCTGTAAGCAGAGAATCTCTCCTAGACCCACTTCCAGGACCTCCAATCAATCCGTCTCTGTCTTACCTTGTACCTTAGTCGATTTTGCACTCCCTTGAGTCCGATCTTGGCCTGGGAGGAGAAAAAGAATGTTGTTGGAGGGGATTCTTAGCTAATACTGACTGCCTTTTCTGAAGCCCTTTTTAAAGTCTGCAAAGTCAATTACATTCCCTCGTTAGATCCCCACGGCAGGGGGAAGTAAGTTTACTGGTATCATCCCCATTTTACAGATGAGGAAACCAAGTGGTGAAATTAGTTGCCCTGAGTCTTAGGTGTGAGATTTGAACCCAGATCTTCCTGGTTCCCAACCCAGTACTGTTCCTTGAGCCAAGCTACCTAGGACTGGGTCAGAAAGGCCTCAAGCACCAAAATTTAGAGGGTTCAAGAATGTAACAATGGGCTGTACATTTTTTAAATGTTACATTTCCTTTGTGGAAACACTTTCACTACTTGAACCGACTTTGAAACTAGTTAGTAGGAATGTTACCAGATTGTCCTTTGTCCATGCCTATCAGGTGACCTCCCTACCTAGCCTGGGCTCCCAGGGTCCCTCCTTGCCCCTGAGCCCTAGCTGCACTCTCCGTACTCTTCCTTAGATTCTCTGCCCCCACACCCCACCCAGTTTGGCACACAGCTCTGGTCTCTGCTGCCCCACCCCCACCTCCTGCCTGGATGGTCCTTACAGAGCGGTACATGTTCCTCACAGCTGGCTGGGTTTTGGCTTTCACAGAATGCAAGAGGGCTCCTCCACCTTTCTGGGGATGGACACAGGAAAGGCTCGTTGCTGGGAGTGTTGGGGGGGAAGGGGGAAGAGGGCTGGGAGGAAAGGAATGACTTGGTCTTACAGGAATTGGTAGGAAGATGATAGATAATTGAGGCCCTGGGTGGGGGGTATTGCTCTTACTTTCAGATTGTCTGCCCAGAGCTGATAGGATCGATGGCTTCCTGGTTTGGGGGAGAAAGAGACTTTAGCTATGGGTCTCCAGACTGATCTGTTATTCCCTATTCCTCCCTCTCTCCCACCCCCTGTCAGAGGCTGGGATCGCCTTGGGGCTGTGAGCCTAATGTCTCACCTGAGGCCAGCCCATTGCTAGTGATTTCCTGCTCAAACGGGTCTGAGAAGCCTTCCCCAGAATTCAGCTTCTCTAGGCGCTCGTCAATGAACTGGGGAGGGAGAATCAGGCAGGTTTATGGCCTGCCCTGGCACCCGAACATCAGCACCCCAGGGCCCATGACCTTGACTTGGACATACCTGTTTGAAGAGTTGCAGGTGGATGGCATTTTGTCTGAAGGCCTGCAGGGGTCCTGGCTTCTGAGCCAGAAAAGCCTCCTCACTGAACTTCATGGGCTGTCCCTGGAGAGCCATTGCATCCTAAGATGTCTCTCCTATCTTCATACTTTCACCTTCTTGACCACCACCCCAGCCACAGAGGACTAACCCTTGATTCCAGCCCATCACCACCACCACCTAGTTGAGCTGACTAAAAAGGAAATTAAGTAACAGAACCCAAGAATCCTTTTCCGTCTGCATCCATGCCCATACCCCAGTGGTTTCAGCAACTCAGGAGTTCTGTGCCCCCCAAGCACCAGTAGTTTAATCCCTTCCCCCACAGCCTGTGCATCTAGATGTCTGCTCACGTGACTGTAGATCAGGGCATCTCTGTAGCCACCAAAGAGCACAGCTTGGGCCCTCAGGAAGAGGCGAGATACTCCCTCACCAGCCGCCAAAGCTTCCTTTCTTAGCCTTAGTCTCAAGAGAGACACCTGTTCCGGGAGAGGTAGAATAAGGGGACCTAGAAGGAACATTTCCTTCCTCTCCCCAGCAGGTGCATGAGGGACTCAGCCCTCCAGAACATGAATATGACCACAATGTATCTGTAGACCAAATGAAGGGTCTTTGGGTGGGGGGGTGGTTTATGCAGAACATGGAATGACAGAGCTGGGACAGACTTCAGAACATGGAGCCTAGAATGTCAAGTTGAAAGGCATCTTCATAGATTTGGAGCTGTAAAGGACCATGGAGATCATCCAATATAACACCCTCATTTTGCGCATGAGGAAACAGGCCCCAAGAAGTTAAGGGAAGTGTCCAAGGTCACCCAGGGTAGCAAAATCAAGATTTGAAGTCAGATTCCCTGACTCTAGTGTTTTATCCACCACACCATACTTCCCTCATCAAATCCAGCCTCCATATTTTACTGAAGGGGAAGCTGGGGCCTAGGGTGTGAATAAACAAGTGATTTACTCAAGGTCACACTTCGAGTTCAGAACAAAGAAGGGCAAGAACTCAGGTCTCCAGACTCCTGGTCTATTATTTCAACAACTCTTAGGTAGTGCCTCATTTTCTAGGAATGTGAGGGGAGACCAAGAAGATGGGGTCCCTGGGAATTTTTCCATCGTGCTCATCTATCTGTAAAAGGAGAGTGATCTACCTGCTGCCCAGACAGAGTGGGAGTGGCATAAGAGACAAGATGGGAAATGGTTGTCAAAGAGACACAGGGAGCCTTGAAGAAGGTCATAGGGCGGGGAAGGACTGACCACATCTGGGGGCAGTGTGTCCACATCCTGGAATGGTGACTCCAAGGTGTTTGTGTCCACATTCAGGATGACCACATCCTCCAGGGCCTTGTCCCGCACTCTCTGAGGGGAAAGAGTCAGGTTTGCCCTCTAATTTCTGGGGCCAAGAGAGCCAACTGCTTCTTTGTTTCCCAAACTCACTCACCTCAATGAGGCTGGTGTGAACACCGATGAGGTAAGGCATAGGGGCACTGCAGGCAGAGGAAGAATGACTCAGGTAAGGGAAGACAGGGAAAGCTAGCTCCAGGAGGTCACCATGCCCCAGGCGTGCCTGCCTCCACACCCCATTTGACTCCTCACCAGCAGTAGTCCAGCAAGTGAGGGGGTAGTGTGGGGATGAGTATGTGTTCCCAATGCATAGGATACAGCAAGCCACAGGACGCATGGACGCAGGCGGTCAGCTGGGAATGATGGAGATCCAAAGAGAGGAAGTAGTTATGGGCCCATTGCCCAACTGTACAGGCTCCCACAGACTCTGAGGTCCTCCCACACAGGACTCCCGTGGCCCTCCTATCCTCCAGTCCCTTTCTCCAGTGTTTCTGGACCTGAACTCCTTCCACTCCACATTTACTCCCTATCATCCCAGCTTCTTACACCCAGTTAATTTCTTATCTGTAGATACTCCTTCCTCTCATACGTGCCCCTATTCCTAGACCCCTCATACAAGCACCCTTGTTCACATTCCTAAATCAGATTCTCCTACCCTCAGAGATCCTCTTATCCCTCCACCCTTAATTCCTGGCCTCTGGACCTTTCCTTCTAGTCCAGAGGTTCCCACTGGACTCCAGCAACCCATCCTTTGTGTTCCCTTTTCCACCAAAAGGAGCCTTGATCCTCATCCTCTCACCCTAGAGATTCAGGGACCTTGGAGCCACTGCCACCATTCCTGAATTCTCATCCCTAGTCATCTGGTCTTTAGGATGCCATTGATAGAGCTGGGCCTCACCGTGCTGAGTTTGCTGGCAGTAAGCAGAACTCTCCGCTCACTGAGCAGAGAGCTATAGAGGCCCACGATGTTCTCTGAAGCCACAGCCACCACCAGCTCTGTCAGGTTCCTCTGTGAGCAGTTGAATACACAAGGGACAGAAGTGCCAGCTGGGCCTGAAGCCTCTGCCTCTGGCCAGCTCAAGCTCCTGCCCTCACCCCTGCTCATCTCAGTCTTGCTCCCTGATTGGACCTCAACTCACATTTTCTGGGATGGAGGGCAGGCGTCCAGAATCTGGAGCAATGAAGCAGGAGAGCTGAGGTGGGGAGGAATATCAGGGTTTCAGATCTTGGTTCTTGACTTCCAGATATGTAAAGGAATCTAGCTTCCCCATAATTTTCTCACCACTCCCTTCTTTATTACTCCTGGTATTTGATATCAGATCTCCCCACCCCCCTCCAAACTAACCTGAGCCCTCTACTTGATCTCTACTGACTTTCAACACCAACTTCAGAAAGAAGCACACCAGTCTCAACAATTTCCACACAATTCCCAGGAAGTTTCACGAGTAATACATTAGATTCTCATCAAAATACCTCATTAGATCCCACTGGATCTATTAATGGTAAGAGAGGTAAAACCTACTTTGATTCCCTACTAGGTCCCCTTTTGACATTGACCAGATCCACATTGGATTCTGCCACCAGTTTTCCTGACAAGATAGGTAACTGGATCCTACCTGAGGTCCCCTCTATTCTCTGCAGTTTCCTAGATGCTTCACTCCCTGCCCCCAGACCCTAGTTCCCACCCCAACCCTTTCCTTATTTACCAGTTGGTTGGTCCCAGGTGCTGGAGGTAGGGAACTGGGGTGACTGGTAATTCTTAGCTTGCTCTCCTGTGGGTCCTGAGGATCCAAATGGAAAGGTAGGGGTGAAGAACAGAGCTGATGAGTTTTTCCTGTCCAGCCCAAGAGGCTGATTTACCAGGCTGACCTCCCCCAGATGGAACCCTGAAGTAATGGAGACCCAGGGGTTCTGAAGAGGGTACATACCAGGGACAGTCCCAAAGGGGCCTCTGGCCCAGGTACTGGATGCAGATATAGGGTAGAAAGAAGTTCTTCAGCCTCAGAGACCTGTGAGTGGAGGTAAGAGGGCTCAGGGAAGCATGGGACAAGCAGGCAAGAGAGAGAGGGGAGAGGAAAAGGGACCTCACCTGATCTTGGGCTAACAGGTCCCCAAGACTGTTGAGCAGTTTGTAGAAAACCTCAAACCAGGGCAGATCACTGAGGGAAAAAGGGGCAGCTGGCTCGGTGTGGGGCAGGATCCCATCCCCCTTCCATCCCTGGGTAGCCAGGCTAGAATAGAACTTTCGAGCTGGAAAGAACCTTAAAGAGTATGTCATTTGGGCATGCTCCCCTCCACCCTCTAGCTTTTGACAGATGGGTCTCAGAGAGGGGATGGGAACTTACCCAAGTTGCACAGCTAATCCGTGACAGAACATGGGACAATCTAGGCCTGCTGGCCTCCAGCCCACCACTCACTCCCTGTCTCCCCCACCCCCAACCTGAGTATGCAGAGGCAGCTCCTGGCGCTGGTCCCCAGGCGACAGAAGCCAAATCTTCGGCTCCCAGCCAAGTCGGTTAGGACAAAGGTGAAGTGCTGGGCAGCTAGACTGTGGCCTGCCCTGGTGAATGTGGGGAGAGAGGGAAAGCTGCTCAATGCCCCCACCCACCTCATGCAGGCTCCAAGGCCCACTCCCCCTTAGCAGAGTGCAAATCCATCCCATCTATCAGTCTCTCCTCTTTCCCTCCCAGCCTCAGTGTCTTTGTCCTGCTGTTTTCCTCTGTGCTTGTATCTCTGTGTCTCAGACTGTGCATGTCTCTGTGTCCTGGTGTTCCCTTGTCTCTCTGTGTGTTTTTCTCCATTTCTTTCTTCTCACCTCTCCAAGTCGAAAGGGAAACAGAATTTGGGTACTGTTTGCATTAATTCCTAGGGATGAAAACAAAGGCAGAGCAGCTTGGCCAGGGGCAGGGGTTAGGGGTTGGGGGTGGAGAAGGTCCAGACCTGGACACGGAGGCCTCTTTATCCCCTCATCAGGACCTGGACATCAGGCTTCTGTTGCTCCTCCCCCATCCCTCTCTTTGGTTGGGGCCCCCATGGAGGAGGGAAGGGATAGTAGGGTTGGGACCCTGGCTTCTGGGGCAGGGATGGGTACATACCTCATCAGAGAAATCCTTAGGGAATTGGCGCAAGATGGGGGGTGCTGCAGGGACAGCTGGTTAGTGAGCTCAAGGCCTCCCAAACAACCCAGACTCCCCTGTTGCCACCCCCAGCCTCGGCTCAAGGGCCTCACCATTTATACTCTTTTTTTCTACCCCTCATCTTGACCCTACCTGACTAGATGGAACTCCCTCAACTTACCGTCCTGCAGGGAGGTGGGGTAGGCAGCCTCAAAGAACCAAGCAAATGTGCTCTTGGGATCCTCCCTGGGGAACAAAGAGGGGTAGGGAGGGCTAGAGCTCCAGCAGCTCGGGAATTTGGGTACCTCAAGTGTGTGTGTGTGTGTGTGTGTGTGTGTGTGTGTGTGTGTGTGTGTGTTCACCTGCTTATCTATGGGTAACACACTGGATAGAATGTTGGACTTGAAGTCAGGAAGTCCTGAGTTGGAACCTATACTAGCCTAGCAAATCATCTAACCTCTCTCACATTAACAATTAGGGGGCCTGGGCCTGAAGCCAGGGCAAAAGACCCGAGTTCAAATCCAGCCGCAAACTCTAGCTCTGTGACCCTGGGCAAGTCGCAACCCCTGTTTGCCTCTGTTTCCTCATCTGTAAAGTGAGGATGATAACAGTACCTACTTCTAAAGGTTGTCATGAGGATCGGATGACACAATAATTGTAAAACACTCAGCCTAGTGCCTGGCACATAGTAAGCACTATAGAAATGTTATTATTTTATCTGTAAAATGGGGATAATAATGGTATATACCTCCCAAAGTTGTTGTAAGGATTCAATGAGATAACACTTATAAATCTCTTTGTAAACCTTAAAATATTATATACATATTTTTATGTGTTTCTGTATCAGTTCTATGACTTACTACTAGTATGACCCCGGGCAATTTTTTAAAAAACTTTTTAAAAAATTTATTTATTTAAAGGCAATTGGCGTTAAGTGACTTGCCCAGGGTCACACAGCTAGTAAGTGTCAAGTCCTCCTGACTTCAGGGCCAGTGCTGTATCCATTGCACCACCTAGCTGACCCAATTTTTAAAAAATTTAATCCATTAAACATTTATTAATTGCCTACTTTATACAGAGCATTGCATACAGCTCTGGGTGACCAACAAAAGTTTAAATAACATACAGCCCCTACTCTCATGGAGCTTAAGGTCTAGTAGGAAGATATGATTTACATATAAATAATAATAGCACAAATAATACTTGATAAGTGAATTAAAGACTGGAGGTACAAAGGACTGAAGTGCAAACCAAGATGAAAAATGATTATTAACAAGAAGAATCAGGAAAGGTTCGTGGAGAAGGCAACTGCTGAGCTTTATAGGATAAGTAGGAGGTCAATGGGTGGAGAGAGAGAGTGTGAACAAGGAGTTTCCAGGTATAGAAAGCAAAGTGAGCAAAGGCTCCCTTTAGATATTATTAGGTTAAGTATCAAGCTTGTTCTGTAAACAGGAAGGATTCAGATCTTGGGACCTCAGTTTCCTTATCTGCTAAGTGAGGAGGTTGGCCTAGATGATCTTTCAGCTCTAAAGCTCAACTCCTGGGCCCTGTTCCTGTGTTGGGGTCTATTTCTGTATCTGTCCCTCTCTAATCACACAGCCCCCTCCCAAGTTTAGACTCTCATCACCCCTCACCTGGCTATTTCAAAGGCCTCCCCACCGGTCTTCCTCAAGTCTCTCTTCATTCCAGTTCAACCTTCACAAACCTGCCAATATAATTTTCCTGAAGCATGAATCTGATTGGGCCACCCTCCCCTACTCTATAAATTCCACAGGCTTCCTTATAACCTTAAAGATGAAGCCCTTTGCAACTACACATTACTCCCCTCTACTCCCTCTTCAGTCCAACCAAACTGGCTTTCTCCTAGTTCCTCACAGTTGATGCTCCATCTCTTTGGATAGGCTATCCTACATGCCTGGAATGCCCTTTCTCCCCACCTCCATGTCCTGGAATGCCTAATTTCCTTCTAGTCTTGGTTCCTGTCATCTTTTGCATGAAGCCTTTCCAGGGTCACCTAAGCTGTTGTGCATTTATTGAATCTATTTTGTATAAATAGCTACATATGTGCATTGTCTTCCTTTTGGAATGTAAGTTCTTGAGGTAGGGATAGTTTTGTTTTTGTATACCAGTGCCTAACAGATGCCTGGCATACCTAGTAGGCACTCAATAAATGTTTGTTGATTGATTCATTGGTTGGTGCATGTCCCTGGGTCTCTGGGGGTCTTCTGTCTCTGTTCTTGTGCCTTTTTCCATCCTCATGCACAGAATCTCTCACTGACTGCACTGTATTTCTGGGATGGCACAAGACACCTGGGTTCTCTTATCTCCATTATCCATCCCTTTCAGTCACCTCTTAGGATAGCAGTCAGAAGAGTCTACAGAAGTGAGGAAGGATGGAGAGGTAAAGGCAGAGAACAAAGAAAGACATAAATACAAAAAGAGGGAGACATGGAGAGAGAGACAGACAGGAAGTGAAGGCGGGACAGGGAGACAGAGACACACACAGAAACTCAGACCAGCAGAGAGAAGCCGATAGAGACAGACCTGGAGACAGGCTGAAGGGGACCAGAGGTGATGGAGGCTGCACAGGAAGGTTTTGAGGTGGCTTTAGTGAACTGTTCTTCTTCCTTAGGGCTATAGACAGTTCACTCTCCTCCTCATCATGAGATCTGTTCCCTCCCTTTCCCTGTTGCCCCCCTACCTTAACAAGAAGGGCTCTCTCGGTTCAAGTCCTCACCCTTGGGCTATATTTGAGGGGTATAGGGAGATGCCTGGGCCTTACTTGATACTGGATCCCATGGTCCCCCTGCTGAATGGGTGCAGCCCAGTGTGGCCAGGACAGGCTTCCCTGGGGGTCCCGACTGGGACCTGTGCTGAGGCAATGGGCCAGGGGTGCTGGGTGCTGGGCCCTTTCTTCTTCCTGTGTGGCTTAGAGAGGAAGTCTGCTGGGTGACGTCCCCGGAGGCAACTCTCCCCTCCCTTGCAGAACCCAGGCACACTGCCTTCTAGTCTCCCCCATGAGGAAGTGGGGCTGAGTTGTGGTCTCTGGGCCCAGATCAGAGCCGAAGTAGCCAGAGGCCAGCATCACATCTATACCATTTGGGCAAAGTTGGTCACCTGCTAGATGAACTCCTATAGCTGACTGCAATTGCTTTGCAACTTGCTGAGACTCTCCTACCTATCCAGAGAGCTTCCTTCCCTCCCTTTCTTCCAGGCTCCTTCATCTTGCTCTGTCCCTCCATCTCTCTATCTCTATCCCTCTGTCCCTTCTCCCAGTGGTTCTTCTGTCACCTCTCTGTCCAGGTACAGGAAGATCACTAGAGGGAGTCTGAGTTGTGTAGTGGGAGGAAACACACAGAATGAGGTACTTAGAGAAACACAAATAAACACACACCTTCCCACCATTTCCTGTTCCTCACGGAGAGAAGAAATGAGTGCATACATGCATACAGCACCACACTTCTGACACCAGGGACACTGATTTGTCAGGAAGCAGGCAGCTGTGACATAGACATATCCAGAGACTGGGTTCATGTTTCTGGAGCAGCAGGCACCCTGTGGTCAACAGCACTGGATTTACTCCAACTGACCTATGTACAAATTATGTCCTAGAGAGAGATGGGAATGGAACTGAAGAGAGAGAGAGAGAGAGAGAGAGAGAGAGAGAGAGAGAGAGAGAGAGAGAGAGAGAGCAAGGGAGCAAGGGAGCACAAAGTTGGGGACTGGACAGGGAAAGAGACAGAGCTCGGTCCTGGTGGGAAGCATGCTTGGAACCTGGATGGTGGGAGCATCAGGGAGAAGAGACTGGGGGATGGAAGGAGAGCTCTGGACTTGCTCTACTGCATTGATTGCCACTTCCCTAAAACTTGCTCCTTCTTTGAGTTAATCCACTCAGTTTGGGGAGTCCTTCCCTGGGCTTGCCTTGTGTTGATGGACAACTGAATGAGTGCAAGATTGCCTAGCTCACTGTATCTAGCTAGATGCTTCACATCCCATCTCGACGTCCATTATGGCCATCTTGCTATTCCCCCTATCAAATAGGCCAGGGCAGCCTCCCCATATACTCCCCACTCCTTGCGCTGAATGAAAATCAAATCAATTCTACTGTTGCTTTTTTTGTAAAGGGCCTGTTAATGAACTGCTCCATGGCTCCAATCACAATCCCTGCAACTTTCCAGACCAAAATTCCTTTCTCTAGTCAACATTCAGCCATATCCCTAGTTGTGTTGTCTTCCTCCATTAGAATATAAACTCCTTGAAGAGATAGACAGTCTCACTACTTATCTGTAACCTCAGCGCTTAGCACAGTGCCTGATGTATTCTAAACTCTTAACCCATGCTTTTTTATTCATTCACCTAAGAGGGGGAGGGGGGAAGTTTATTTAGTGAAAAATCTAATCAAAGGAAAATGACCCATATGTTAAAAAAAATATTGATACCAGCCCTTTCAGTCCTAGCCCAAAACTGGAAACTAAGGAGGTGTCCTTCTATTTGATAAAGCTAAACAAATTGTGGTATATGAATATCATGGAATATTATTGTGCCTTAAGAAGTGACAAAATGGACAGCTTCAGAGGAAACTTGGGAGACTGTTATGAACTGATACAAAGTGACGTGAACAAGACCTAGGAGAATATATTCCAGAAACAACATTGCAGAGATAAACAACTTTGAAAAACTTTAAAACTCTGATTAGCACAAAGATAAACTAAAAGAATGATGCTGAGGCATGCCACTTACTTCCTGACAGGAGTCATGAACTGAAAATACAGAGACACATTTTCAGATGTGGTCAATATGGGAATTTGTTTTGCCGGACTATGCATGTATCCAAAGCTTTATTTTGCCTTTTCTTTTTAATTAGCTCAATGGGGGAGATAATGGTGGGGACAGATTATAAAAGAAAGAGTAGCAGTGTAATCAAAGCCATTACTTTTTAAAGAAACTTTGCACCAAAAAACAGGCCCACCCAATACATTCTTATAATATCATAGGTATATAAGTTACATCTATGTGTGTTCGTTATTTTTCATTTAAGATTGGCCTCTGTGTTAATAAAATTGCATTCAATTCTAGAAAAAAAATTCTTGCTTCAGGGGAGGTGGAATACTCCCAGATCATCCACATTCAGTTCAATCTGGTGCTTCCAAAAATATATGTGTGCATGCACATGTATATACACAGATGCATAAGTGTACAATGCAATATACATACATGTATATATACAAACCTGTGCATGCATGCACACATATATGCATGTATGCAATACATAAACTCACATGTACACATACATCTAAGTGTGCATCTGTTTGCTCTTGTTTCCAAAGTGGATTGTTTAGTTAAAAGTCACTTGCTCACAGCCCAGTCTGATTCTCTGGCATGGAAATGTAAATCATTAGCCAGTGGGGAAACCAAGGTACAAGTTGGCAGAGTAGATGACCTTTACAAGGTCCCTTCCAGTTTTAAAACCTATGATCCTCTTTTCTTTACAAGCCATTAGCTTTAGGAACAGATAGGGAATACAAACATAATTTCATGGATTTGCCAAAGAGAATCCACTGAATGACAAATAGCCTTTTGTCAGGGACCCAACATACCTGTTGTGTTGTGGCGAATTCTCAGTACTCATACTGTCAAACAAAGACATAGATTTTTTTTTTAAAGGCAATTGGGGTTAAGTGACTTGCCCATGGTCACACAGCTAGTAAGTGTTAAGTGATTGGTCTGAGGCCGGATTTGAAGTCAGGTCCTCCTGACTTCAGGGCTGGTGCTCTATACACTGTACAACCTAGCTGCCCTCAGATTTTGTTTTTTTAAAGTGTGGTATCAATAGTGTTAGGAAGCAGAGGACCTTTGAATCTTGGTTCTAATCCTGACTACCTGTGTAATCATAAGAAAGTCTCTTCATCTCAGTAAAATGTAAGGATTAGACTAGATCTGGGATCCCTTCCAGCATTGAAACCTATGACATCGATAATCCAATAGCTGGGATTTGGCTCTAAAGACAGGTGGCTAAAGGGAGTGTATGAAGCCAAGTGTTATGAGCATCTATCTGCCTCCACTCCTGCAAACTTGGGGTCCTCCAGTGTTGAATGACTGCTGGTCCCATATCCCTTCTCTGGGCTTCTGCCCTTTTCAGCTCTGCCTCCCTCCTAAGAGAGCATGCTGGGGGTTGGTGTCAGGTGACCAGATTCACAGCCTAGGGCTATTTTGAGCAGGGTGGGGCAGGTCATACTCTCTAGCCCAGCTGCTGGCTGGGCATAAGTGCCAGGTCCCAGATATGGGTTGGGGGACAGGCACATACTTCTCTGGACAATGGGGTAAAGGGATACTTCCCTACTCAAGGGCCCTACGATCCTCCTCCCCTACAGCAGCCTCCTCTGAAGCCCACACCTCCATCCAAAGTAAGACTTCTCCACACAAGTGTGTTATCATGATTTTATTGTGTAAATGTTTAGGGACATTCACTGAGCCCTACCCCCTCCCTGCCAGCCCCATCCAAATCACAACACTAAGCTAAGGTGGGAGTTAGTGCATGCTTGTTTGGAAAAATGAAAAACGTGCCCAACATAGCATAGGGTGGAGTTATTTGGGAGAAGAAGAAATTTATTTGGAAGAGGGGAGACACCCAAGGACTAAGGGGTTCAGTTCACAACTCCATCATTCACTCTATGTGTACGACTCAAGGCCCCTTTTTTATGAAGAAGGGCTTGTAATCTCTAAAGTTTCTTCTAGGTCTAAATCCCTCTCTCTCGTGGCCCCCTTTTCAGGAGTAGTTTCAGAGACAGAATAGGAAAGCTAAGGTTTAGAGGGATCAGAGAAGATGAGGGAGATACAAGGTCAGAGAAGTTGGAGAAAAATTGGGGAAAATGTCAGGGAATTTGGGTAGGATCAGAGAAGCTGGGTGTGGATGAGGTTGAAGACAAATTAGGGAGACAGTATAAGGGAATTAATTAGAGGGAATAAAGGTTTGGTGGGGTCAGAGGACAATATGAAGTGATGTGAGCAGAGAAAGTGAGGGAACATAGTAGGGTCAAGGTAGAATTCAGGGGAGGAAGTGTCAGACAAGAATGAGGATGTCATAGGGTCAGAACTAGGGAGGGTAATGTGGGGTCTGTGTTGTAGGTAGACGCAGTGGGAAGCACTCTAGGCCACTTCTTCCTCCTCAGCTTCCTCCTCAAATTCCCCCTCTTCTGCTGTGGCATCTTGGTATTGTTGGTACTCTGAGACTAGGTCATTCATATTGCTTTCAGCCTCAGTGAACTCCATCTCATCCATCCCCTCACCCGTGTACCAGTGAAGGAAGGCCTTCCGGCGGAACATGGCTGTGAACTGCTCAGAGATGCGTTTGAAGAGCTCCTGGATAGCAGTGCTGTTACCGATGAAGGTGGCTGCCATCTTGAGACCCCGGGGTGGGATGTCACACACCGCTGTCTTGACATTGTTGGGGATCCATTCCACGAAGTAGCTGCTATTTTTGTTCTGCACATTCAGCATCTGCTCATCGACCTCCTTCATCGACATGCGGCCACGGAACACAGCAGCCACTGTCAAGTAGCGCCCATGGCGGGGGTCACAGGCCGCCATCATGTTCTTGGCATCAAACATCTGCTGAGTGAGCTCGGGGACTGTCAATGCCCTGTACTGCTGGCTCCCTCGGCTAGTGAGTGGAGCAAAGCCAGGCATGAAGAAGTGGAGACGAGGGAAGGGGACCATGTTGACTGCAAGCTTGCGCAGGTCAGCATTGAGCTGGCCTGGGAAACGGAGGCAAGTGGTGACTCCACTCATCGTGGCAGACACCAGGTGATTGAGGTCCCCGTAAGTGGGCGTAGTCAGCTTGAGAGTACGGAAACAGATGTCATAGAGGGCCTCATTGTCAATGCAGTAGGTCTCATCTGTGTTCTCCACTAGCTGGTGGACTGAGAGGGTAGCATTGTAGGGCTCCACTACTGTGTCTGACACCTTGGGTGAGGGAACCACGCTGAATGTGTTCATGATGCGGTCTGGGTACTCCTCACGGATCTTGCTGATCAGCAGGGTGCCCATGCCTGAGCCTGTGCCCCCACCCAGCGA